CAGGCTGGTGTGCTTCTTCCGTGTGGCTTTTGTTGTCTCTCAGCTAGATGGCTGCTCGTTAATCCTCAGGTCTTTAAGGCTTCAGGTGCTCTATCTTTTGGTAGCTGGCAACCATCAGCTTTCTTCACCACACTTGCTTGTGCACCCTTTGTCTTCAGTGACTTCAGGTGTTATATCTTTTGGTAGCCAAGCACCATCCGCTTTCTTCACCACATTTTCTTGTGCACCCATTGTCTTCAGCGATTGTGCCAGGCAGGTGAGCATCTCAGACTGCTGAACTGTTAGAACAAAGTGTTCTTGTGTTGAGGGAGTACGTGTGCAGGGGCCCACTGTCCATCTGTTTTCTTAATACTCAACCTATAAATATATGTACATAGATATATTTCCCCCTCGTCATATATAAATATATTTACATATTTATATGCCTGTTTTACATCTTTATGACTACTCTTTGCCTCCTAGTTCTTTCCTCTATTTCTTTGTACTTTCCTTTTGTCCCACTATCATGTTCTGCTGTCATTTGGGGAGACACGTTTAAACACATTTTGCTTTGGGTAAAGTCCTGGGTATGTATGAACTAGAATACTTATTTAGTAGCAAGCTACCCTAATATCTTTAGAGAAGAATATTTGCAAATAATTGTAAATGGACTTCATGAAATTATAAATTAAAATAATAAAACATTAAAGCTGTAAAAGGTGGCAGGATTCTTTACTTCACATCCTTCATCTCACAAGACCAGAAATTTATTCTACATGGTTTTAGACCAGTATTCTAGTTGGGCAACTTAGTACAGAGCCAAAATAAACAGTAGGAAACTATGCTTTCAATGTTGTTCTCAACAATTATACTTTTAAATAGCTCGCCTAGCTAAAGAGGTGACAAATACTTGCATTTCTGCCAACGGTGTAGGATGTCCATAGAGGCATCAATATGCCCAGGCTGTATCCACTCACAAACTGGTGCTGATAAAGAAGACACACGGTGCTGTTCTTCTGGAGAACCCGGGGTCGTCCGTAGGGTAAAGTGGCACGCTTAATGCTCTTCTCTTTGAGGGCCGGCAGATGAAACAATTTAAATACACATAGTTAATTTACAAATTGATAGAAATGATGATACAATGATACACTCATCTAACCCCTTTTTCCACTTAATCTTGTGAAAGCTGTTTTTAACTATCCAGAAATTAAAATAAGCTTTAAAAACCACCAATGATAATAAAACTATTAAAGCAAAAGGAATTTATTTCAAGTTTTGACTGAAGGATGAATGTCGTGTCAAGATATCAAACCCACTGCCATTACGTCGATTTTGACTCCTAGTGACCAGATTTCCAAAGCTGTAGACCATTTTGGGAGCACAAAGCCTCTTCTTTCTCTGGCCGAGCAGCTGGTGATCTTGAATTGTCAATCGTGAGATTGGCAGTACAGCTCTTAGTGCCCGGCTCCTCAAGAGCATGCTTTTTAGTTAGTACTTCAAACCGCATTACTAAGACAATTTAAAACATTATTTAAGGACTTATTCTTCAAGACATGGTTCAAAATGTAAACTTCCAGGATGATACAGAGCTGCAGTTACAAGAGTCAGGTGAGTGAAGCAATAAAACATCGCTCCATTTATAGTGGCCTTGGAGTTGGCTCTATCCCAGTGGCTCTCCACCTTCCTGATGCCGCAACCCTTTACTACAGTTCCTCAGGTGGTGGTGACCCCCAGCCATAACATTATTCTCATTGCTACTTGCTACTGTTATGAATCGGGTGACCCCTGTGAAAGGGGTCGCGACCCACAGGTAGAACTGCTGCTCTAACCTATGGTAACTTGATTCATCAGACGGAAACACTGCCCGGCCCGCACCTTCACTGGCATAACAGCGGTAGAATCTGTTCATTGTCTTTTTTCAAGGCTCAGGCGCTTTACAGAGTTCTTCATATACCGTATATACTCGAGGATAAGCCAACCCGAATGTCAGCCAAGGCACCTAATTTTGCCACAAAAACTGCATAAAAAACGTACTGAAAAATTCGGCTTAGACACGAGTATATCTGGTACATCATCATCTCACTTACTCTCATATCACTCTATAATTAAGACTACCTGCTTATTTCACAGATAAGGAAATAGCAGCTTATGGAGAGCAGGTAATTTTATCATGGGCACACATTTTCTAAAGTTGGATTTAAACCTAGATCTGCCAAATTCCAAAAGGGCTGTTCCTAACCACCATACTTTTCTACCCTAGACCCATCGAAGAACTTTCTAATGCAAACAGTTACAGCAAGGACTTGGCCAAGGTTAAATCAGAATTAGTCTAAAATTCCTTTTCTATTACTGTAGGGGTGAGGGGTGGAGGGAAGGGAATCAGCCAAGTAATGGGAGAACTAAAGGTTATATTAAAATGATAATGAACATCCTATTTGTAAACTGAAGAAGTTCATTAGTTGTCTACATAATCCTAACTTCCATTGAAAAGAAATGCCTTTAGACAAATGAAATCCATTTATAATCTTTCATAATGAATAAGATTCAAGAGAAATAAGACCTCAACAGGTATTTTCAATGGAAATCAGGTGATCCTTTAATAACCTTCAAAAATCTCTGAATTATCGAAACACTACCATCGTGTTCATAAACAGTGGTTCAGCTCCCACTCAGCACATGGCACACTATTTGCACTGTCAGTGTCCTCTCAGGTTCTTATGATGACCAGTCTAGGGTATAACAAAGAAATCTGTATGCTTCATCAGGTGAGCCCTCACTACTCCATTGATGTTCCTGGCTAATCTCAAATAATGTCCAGGCATCACAGCTCAGCGACTCTCACTGTTGACAGAAGTCCTGTCTCCCCATCCCAAGCTTGAGAGTAACCATGTCTTCTCACCTTCTGCTGTGGTCAAGTTCAACTGTGCCTGTAAATCCACAATTGGTACAATCTGAAAAAAGAATAGTACAGTTTTAAGGATCAAAAGACCTTTTGTAAAATGTTGTAAAATGGAATGTGTACTGTTTAATGTAACATAGATCAAAGATAACTTTTTAAAGCTTTGTATGAAGTGAGTTATTTTTCATGAGGAGGATAAAAGGATAGGATGGCAAATGTAAAAAGACAAAATGATTATCGTAAACATTACTAGTAACTAAAAAATTAGAACACAATTCCTTTCCCACTATTTTTATCTTTCCTCCTGCTATCTTTAAACAACCATAAATCTAAAACAAGAGTTTAAAATGAACCACTTCCCCAGTTTCTGTCTTACAGCATCTATGAATTTTGTTCATACCTTTTCACATATTTTTATCTTTTTCATATTAAGAATGGAGTAGGAAAAGAGCCATCAACCCCTTTCCTATCAAAAATATTTCCCCTAAATACAAAATAGGTTGGGATGTGTTTCACAGAGGGATATTATGATTGGATTACTACGTGCCAAGGACTTCACTACAGGATGACAACATGGACTCTCTTAGCTAGGACATCTGGGGGCTCAATTCGATTTCTTCCAACCTCCGCCTAAGTCAAGTCACAGAGGTTGTGGTTGTGGGGTGCCATCAGGTGATGGCTTTTTGACTCCCAGTGATGGGCTGATAGTGACACAGTCACTGCAGAGAGGAATAAAATAGAAGTGAAAATACAACAATCACGAAGTGACCTAACCAGCAACTGTTTCTCCAGCACACGCCGTGTAGCGGGCTGTATGAATACATGCACGCTGGGGGTGACTCCCCACCAGCACTTACGGAGGCACTGCAGGAGCAGCCAAGGTTCTCTCGGCTGGCTCTTGTGAACGGGCACTGTGCCAGGGGCTGGGCTTCTTTAGGATGCCTTGGCGTGTGGACAGGACGCTTTAGAAGGTGGTTAAGACTGCCATGAGTTCCGTTATTAGAAGCAGGTTCCAAATTCAGCAAATCTACATAATGTCAAGAATGGTAAAGAGTTACTTCATAGTTTCAAAATGAAGCCAGTAACAGATTTGCAATACGATTTTTATTTTTAAACCGAAACTGTCAGAGTTCTCTGGTTTTCCAGAAAATGAAAGTACACAAATTTCCTAAGCTTCAGAATATTTTGGATTATGCTGTCCATGTCTCTATAAAACTCGATGACTTTTAAAGTACAAGTATGTGTCACTTAGTGCCCAGCCACATGTACATTTGTGGATTTATATCTTTTTTTTTAAAAAGGAAAGTAGCTCTCCTTTTATTCTTTCCCCCCATGATTTTAATGTCCTCAAACCCAAGTCTGAGCCGAATTAGATCTCAGGTCGGGTTTAGGCAGGTGAGCAGAGGGCATGGTGGTGGGCGCGGGCTCTCAGGTTTGTCCACTGGGCAGGTGGCAGCAGCGCTGATTGCTGAGCAGCCTGGATTGGCTCTTGCTTTCTCCTTCCGCTCTCGGCCTCCCTGCACTGGAGCCTGCTCCTCTCGCTCCTGACAGCAGCTCCCGCAGCGGCAGTGCCAGTGATGAGGACGAGCAGAAGCTGACTCCTGTAATTTTAATAGGGCGTTTACACAACATCCTATCTCACAGAACATGTGTGACCATTACACGGAGCCTTATTTCATAGGGGGTTACAAGGTGGGCTTAGAAACCACAAGCAGGTCCATGGGCGAAAAATAAGGCTTTCTGCTGCTCCAAAGATGCATAGTCTTTGAAACCTACAGGCGCAGTTCAGCTCACTCCCATAGGGTCGCTGGGAGTCAGAACTGACTGGGTAGCAGTATTTTGTTTTGTTTCTTTAACGTTTCTGTTGCAGACATTAATTGATGTATATCTCTTCATGATCGTCATCATTTGCTGGATTACTCTATGTGTTAGTATATATTTGCTTATTTAATCCTTAAGAAAACTTAGTAAGTCAAGTTTTATTGTCAATATTTATGAATAATAACAGTGCCTCACCTGTGGTCTCAAATCTTATAGAACTAGGTCAAGGATATGGAACCAGCTTTTTTTTTTCTTTGAAACCAGCTTTGTCTGTATCTAAAGCCCACGCTCTTAATAATAAAATCAACAGGAAGCATTTATGCAGCAAAGCACTTACTATGGGCCAGGTACTGATTCAAGCGCTTTAGAATAGGTATATTCCCTCACTTAAGGTGTATATGTTCCCACTAAAAGAATTATACCTAGAACATATTCACAGCTTTGTAAATTCTCAGTGTGTATCAATCATAAAATAGAATAATGTTTTAAACACAGTACCCCACCACAAAGGTTAGGTTATACAGTGAATCGCACAGTAAGCTGAAATCTCCTAATGGGTACTCGTCCACGTCTTTAACATGGACCAACGTTGCCATCTGTTCCTCCTACGATTGCCCACGTTTCACTGGCTCCCTTCCGTGCAGTGCTCTGAGTCAGACACATACACACTGGAAACAAGCTGTGCGTGTTCCACTTTCGTCGTTTGCAGCCCAGTACAGGAAACATAAGCAATCAACTGATACGTTTGAAGTTTGTTTTTGTTTTCTTGCAGTGACTCTAGGTCCGGAAGAAGAAAGGTAAGAATGTGAGGGTCTGTCTCCACCACTGTCAACACATGGCGCCCACCTCGCTAATCCTATCCCATCTCCTCTGTGTGCAGACGGGATTGAAGACACCTGCTCACACTCACCACACATCAAATTATAAACTTCAATATTTTCAAAGCTGTCAACTTCAACGCCGTGCTTGAATCCAGGTCCGTAGCCGATAAAAAGGGCCTAGATCCAAAAAGTAGCAGTTTTTCAGAATAATATTGCAGCCATGTACCTAGTTGTTTAAAAATGAGGCTGTGCACACTGTGTGGGTACACACACACACACACACACACACACACACATTTACACTTTTTATACTGAGATAAGGAAGAACTGCTCCACCCAATGAATTTAGGTTATTATTGAATCCAATTACAGCTATGGTCTAAAGGGAACCCAGTGTCTTTTTCTTAGCTTTACAACAATTCTTTAGACAATCACAAGAGAATGGATGATAAAATCTTTGTGCCTTAATGAAATGGGATATAGTTTCACATTGTTCACTTCCCACAGTTCCTGTAAGAGGGGGGGTTGTCAAATTAAAATATGACTATGAATATATCTTGAAAATGTTAAAAAGCAATATAGATCTATTATCTTCTTTCAGAACATAAATATGTCTCTTCTCACCTGCTAAGTCCCTGGCTTTCTTATGGGTGCAAAAATCAGTGTAAAATGACTAATAACAATGCACTGAGGACACCAGTTGCTGTTGAGCTGATGCCTGCTCACAGCACCGCTGGAGAACAGACAGGACTGACCCCGCGGGCTTCCCCGGATGCAAATCTTTCTAGAAACAGCCAGTCTCGTCTTTCCCTGCAGAGTGGCTGGGGTCTTTGTACTGCTGACCTTAGCAGCTGACTGGATTAACCACTGTGCCACCAAGTTTCTTTGCTCAGGAAACAGAGGAGTATAAAATTGAATAAAAATTCTATTAATTTAGTTTGGAGGTTGAGGTCCTCCATCCATATTGAACTTGTTTTTATGCATGGTTATGTGGAATGGATTGTTTCATTTTTCTCCATATGGATATCCAATTTTCTTAGTACCATTTATTGAAGAGACTTTTTTTCCCTCATCATATGAACTTGCATCTTGGTCAAAAATCAGCTAACCATAGCACTGTAGGCATACTTGTATTCTATTTTATTCTCAATTCTATTCTCTTTTGTCTATATCTATTGTTATACCCAGACCAAGATACCCTGACTACTATAGCTGTACTGGCCGCTGTACTGGCCATTGTACTGGCCGCTGCACTGGCCGTTGTACTGGCTGTTGGTGTTAGGTACCATACTCTATGAAGGTATGTGCTTCACTCAAGATATTTAATCATAGTCTGCATTTTTCCGTCTAAAACTTTACACAGGCTTTTTTTAAGATAGCTTTAAAATAAAATATGCTTACTCACTTGCATATTTGAAAATAAGTTATCAGAGCCATGAAATCCATTTCCACAATATTTCCCCTCGTATGGATTCCTAATTTTAACACATATCAATGAATAATGTAAAGTTCACTCAGAAAACATCATTGATAAGCCTAACACAATAGATACAAGTAAAGCATACAAAAAATATTTTGTTAAGCAAATAAACTACTTTTGAAAATTATTCAGAGTTCACTTCTGCATTTATTTATTAGACAAGTAAATTATCAGACAGCCACATAGTACAGAGGGGAAACTACAGCTGATATTGTAGAGCTTATATCGTGCTACAGAGGCAGACCTGGTTTTAAGCTCTGGGACTGGTTAGCAGCTGTTAGTTCAATTATTAGACATGGAGATAAATTAAGGATTTGCTTTTGGTTGTAATTTTGTCATGTGGATTGGTGTAACTCAGAGACTACGTTCTTGGAACATAGTAGAGCGAGCGTCTCAACATAGTCCTTCTCCATTGAAGAGGAAGGACTGCTCCCTCTCATTTATTCTGCTTCCACACGCGGCAGGAAATGCAGTTCCGACAGAAGTGCAGCTCTGCTGATTGAATTCTGGTTCACAGTTTGGTTTTTGCTTCCTGAGGACATTTATTATAATATCCCTTCTGGCAACCATCAAAAGAGTTCATGATCAGGTTGTGAGATAGTAACACTATTAACCCCCTAGATAATTCATCAACCCCCAGTTGATTGATAGATTGTATACGGAGAATTTTAAATTCTATAGAGTGAAGATAACTGTTCATTATTATAAAGTGAAGTACTTTTGCCAGTTATTTGATAGACTTTTAAAGTCTTATTTTGAAAGTATTGAGACACGTTTATCATGTGCAGAAGAGATAAAAATGACACATGGAAGCTAATAAATAAGCAGCATAAGGGGTAAAAAAATCACTACTTATGTGGTGGGACAAGGCCTGGTTCTCATCTGAGGGTGACCCTCTCCTGTGTCTCTGGACCCATGTCTGAAGACACTCTGGGTTGTCACATATGGGATCGGGTAGAGCCTACCAAATATCCCACCATGACAGGGCAGTCCCCCTGACAAGAGTCGTCTGGCCACAAATATAATGGAGCTAGGATTGGGAAACTCCGGGCTAGAGCAAAGAGAATCCTATTTGTGCAGGTTTCCCATGTCTAGGAAGAGTCCAGCCATTACCATGAATTACTAAACTATCAGGCCACATTTACATAGAAGTTTGTCAGAACTTACAATGCAAGCTGCCACTGAGGATCCAAATAAAACGTCAAAGGCTCAATTCGGTCATTTTTGGCAAAGTGCAAACGCTTGGGTAAGAAGTGTTTTAAGTAAGGTTTAAAATGCTGGTTTGGTTCCAGGCACTGAAATTGTGAAAAACAAAGAAAAGAAATAATTCTAGGAAACTCTTCAGAAAAATGTCCGTGGTTTTCTAGAGTGAAGACTTCTGCCTTACAGACATGTCATTAGCATGTACAATAAGTCACAGATGCAAAAATAACTAGAAGTTCTTACTCTTCCCGCAGTGCTCAACTTGAATTTTACAACGGGATACAATGTTTTTAGTTAACTAATAATTCCTTACAGTGAATTACATGATGGTGACTCATAAAGTTCATGAAAAATGTAATTTAAAACCGGTATTTTTTCAAGAAGATTTTGAGGTACCCTTGTATTCAAGTTGTTGATGATTCTACTTTCAAATATCAATATTAGTAAAATTTTAAGAGTTTTATTCAATAGATAAAATAGTGGCGAAACAGGGAGGGTAAAGGGAGAGTGGGTAGGAAAGAGGGAACCGATTACAAGGAACTGTGTGTGACCTCCTCCCTGGGGGACAGACAACCAAAAACTGGGTGAAGGGAGACGTCGGACAGGGCAAGATATGACAAAATACCCATTTATAAACTATCAAGGGCTCATGAGGGAGGGGGGAGCAGGGAGGGAGGGGAAAAATGAGGACCTAATGTCGGGGGTTTAAGTGGAGAGAAAATGTTTTGAGAATGATGTACAAATGCGCTTTACGCAATTGATGTGTGTATGGATTGGGATAACAGTTGTATGAGCCCCTAATAAAATGTTTAAATAAATAAAATATATCAAGTGAAAACAAGGTGGTTTTCACTTGCAGGTAACACAGCATTATGACAAAAATCTAATTTTAAAAAACAGACATGAAAAAGCAAACGCTGGGAGGAAATACACCAAAATGCTCACAATACATATGACACCTCTATACATTTTTCTTTTATTTTTCAGAAAGTATCCTTTATGCATTATAAATGTTATAAGGCCAATAAGTAAATTATTTTTCAGACATAACAATAAAGATCTTTAAGAGCCAGAAAGCATTTAAATGTTATCCCAGATACTCAAAAATTCTAGTCCTACAATCCCAAGAACAAATATCCAAGAATTATTTTCCTAAATACATGTGCTATACAAAACTAACAATAATTAGATAATGGCAAAATAAGAATACTCACAGAAAGATTTCTTGCAATGCCTTCATAATTGACTGAAACATAAGAACAAACAAAGAATCAAGGGTTCATGGTATGCTATTATTAGAAATTAATACCAAAGCAGATTTCAAACAGCTTACGCAGTCCTTATATGGAAAGGAATGAAACCATCTTCGACGGTTGCCCGTGCTGCCCATGAAATCCTGTCATGTTGCTCAATGAAAGGCAAGCTACAGAACATCCGGCGGTCCATCCACCTGTGAATTCATTTATCGGTCTGGCCACGTAGCCATTCATCGGATTCTCTGCCAATCCATCTATCCAAAGATTTACAGACCTATTTATCTATCTATTTATCTGATCTAGTATAATTGCAATGTATAAAACTGTTTTCTTTAAAAACAAACAAACGTGTCTTGAGTCTGCATAGAAAGCACCTGGAAAGAAACATTCACAGCGTTTCTCTAGAGAAGGGAGCTGAGCTGGGACGCGAGGGTACTTAAGAAAGGAAAGCTTTCCCTTTTGTACCTGTATACTTCAGTATTTAGGGATAGGTTCCGAATTTCTAAATATCAAGACTACATAGACCGGAACTTAAAAATAAGGGCAAGGGGAGTAGTGTTGAAACTAAACTTGCATAGCAAGCCCACAGTATACTGTGTGATGCAGATCAGTAACAATTTTGTGACTTAGCAATCTTCAGCCACATTTTTCATAAATTTGAGAAAATTGCCAAGATAAAAGAATATGCTACAAACACACACACCGAGTGTGGAGGTGAGGCTTCAGAGAGTCCATTGAAAAATGGAACTCAAAGATATTGGCACTTTTCCATGAGCTCTTTGAAGCCCATATATAAATAATGTATGGTAATAAATAGATAATAATGTTGTGTGGTGTGTGTGTGTGTTTTGCTTACATTTGAAAAACCTCACGTCCTAATTAAGATGTCCTGGGGTTGTTAAGTGCTCGTCTGCTGACTGAAAGGTCATCGGTTAGAAGACACCAGCCTCCATGAGACAAAGATCAGGCAGCTTACTTCTGTGAAGACTGATAGCCTTGGAAGTCCCATGGAGTATTCTGTCCTAAAGGGTCGCTATGAGTTGCCATCAGTTCCATGGCAAGGGGTTTGCTTTTTTATTTGGGTGCCCTCAGCTCAGGCACCCCCTTGCCTCCTTCACTTGTACTGTAGGAGCTTACGCAATTGCATCCTGAACCTCACTGGGGACGGACACTGCCTAAGTCTCTTTATTTTTAGCTGATTTTATAGTAATCATGCACTTCCTTCATAACTTTTTTGAAAACCCTAATTAGATCTTGTCATGGTGCCTATGAAACCACTGCTTTGGTCACCATGTTAGCGTTATTTGCCCAACCATTTTTCTACAAGAAGGGCCTCTCTCTCTCCTTATGACTATCCAAAAGCATTTACTCAAATAGAGCACCACATTGCCCAAACCTAACCATTGCGTATGTGTGTGTTACATATGTTTATATATATATATATATGTATATGTATATAGTTAAACATAAAGTCTCTTTATGTTTCAACATTCATTGTAACAAAAAAGATAAAGTAGGTTTACCTTAAAGTTTCTGAAAGTTATAAAGGGTGATATTCAAAAAGTGGTGAGACTACCATGACTCGAATTCGACCTTGCAAGTCTGGCTAGACCAGAGGATGTACACT